AATTTATGGCGAATCAAAATCAATGGCCTGTTTAATAATAAATGATTAGCTGTAGATTACACATGATTTGATACACTTTTTATAGACTTGTAATGATTATCAATTAGATTAATGACAGCTTCAGCTTACAAATTCCCCCGCAAAATAATAAATTACTTTTTTTTTCTTACATATTAACAAATAAGCCTTATTTAGGATATTTATTGAGAGGTTCTTGTTCAGTTCCAATTAAGTTTTCATTTGTAATAACATCATATTTTTTTTTTTAAAAAAAAAAAGGAAAGAAATAAACAAATAAAATATAAATGAAAATAAAAAAAAACTAATTAATACTTTAATATTATATTTATTATATTTTATTATATTTATTATTATATTTATCAACCGAATATACACATAATAAATTAAGTGTTACATTATGCAAATCACGTCTCACATACTGGGGATGATCACTTTTTGAAAGATACGCTGACAATGAAAATGTATAACATGAGATGTGATAATCTTTTTGTACAAACCATAAACAAATAAAAAAAAAAAATTTAAGAATCCAGTCGTAAATTTTTTATTTTTTGAAAAAAAAAAAACTTATTGCGCGTAATTTTACGCGTAAAATTATTTTAATTTACGGTGTTGTATTACCCTTATGAAATATGGAAAATTGTTTTCTTGTTTAAATTTGAAAATGATCGAAACTTATTTATTTATTTATTTTAACTTTCTTTTATTTTGATTACTTGATTACTTATGAAACTTTAATATTTCGCGTATATTCCGACCTTCCAATCATACTATACAGTTGAAAAATCATTCATTGTCCAATAGATTAAAAGGATAATTTAAAAAAGGATAACAAAATAAAAAAACCATATTTTTCTTTTTTTTTTCTTGGAAACTTTGTAATGGTTCTCGTATCCGCTTTTTATTTAAATAAATAAACGCACCCCATTTATGTAAGTACGATACAAGTACGATACAAGTACGATATAAGTACGAATTGGGTTCAACCACTTTTCGTCAATTGATTACAGTTAATAATTATATACCACATTTTTTTTTATGTGTTAAATTAAATATTCTCTTTTAAGCTGAAATCACTTTATATCAAGAAATTGGAAATTTGGCGTAAAAAAAAACATGATTATAAAAAAAAAAAAAAAAAAGATCATGGGTTCATTGATAACCGAAATTACCGAAATTCTACGATTGGATTTTCACGGAATATCCGATTATACTTTGACCGACATTATTTATCTTTAAAAATAAAATTAAATGACGGAGGGTTTATACATAATAAAATTAAGTAATCAAGAATTATAAAAATATATAGTTATGTAATCATTGAAAAAAGGAACTAGTCAGTTTAAGTTTAGATCTGTCAAAATATTTTAGATATTTTAGATATTTATATTAGATATTTTTGATCTTTTTTTCTTTTTACAAAAAAATATTTTATTATTATTATTACTATTATTTTCTATATACAGTATACATACAGTGAATGTACACACAGACGCAGATAAAACATACAATATATACATATATACAACACATACATACATACATACTAACACATATGTGGCGACTTCTTATTATCCCATTTAACCCATTATAATAATAAATGATTTTATAGTTCAAAATAAAAATAACGAAATCATTTAGTGGTACATTACGCCAAATTTTTTCATAACATGGTACACCTTTAAAATTTTCGATTACTAAATTTGTGCAAAAAGGACTTTATAATAAGAGTAGATTAAATGATAATATTAATATCAAAATTATTCGCTTTTTTTAAAAAAATATGTGCAAGCACAAACAATATTATTATATTTTATTAGGATTGGTAATAAATTTACCCAAATTTTAATACTATTCTATCATATGTTTGTAAAAATTCTAACCTTATGACTTACACCAAAAGTTGATCACTTTATATCGGTATTAATGTATCTTACACAAAAAAAAAAAGGGTCTGCAATTCTGCATAAAGAATTCCTTTCTGTTACACTTGAAAATGATTTTGGGTTGCCCGGGATACTTTATGTCACGTGCACGTGTTTTCAACGTACAAAATTTCGGATTATTATTTTTCAAAAAGGGATCATTGTATTATTTATTAGTTATTATATAATTTTATATATGTATATATATAATTTCGAGAACTTTTTTTTTATATACCCTTTTTTTTATTTTTTTATTTTTAAAAAAAACAAATAAAACTTTTTTACCAAACTTTTTGATTCTACCCGGCAGGTTGTGAGACAGGAATTTTTATTTTTCCGCATGACTCAATGATTTCATGATTTCATGTTTAGAATATCATTAGACAAACAAAGCCACATTTATATTTTTGTACAGTTTCAGGAATTTACAATAATGAATCAAAACAAAAAAAAAACATAATTAAATTAAATGTTTATGCTTTATGTTTGATATGTTTTTGATTCGTTTTTTTTCACTTTTGAAATAAAAGTCATTTGCAACAAATAAAATTGAATAAAACTTTAGGTGGGGAAATCTGTTTATTATTGGTGAAAATCTAAATGTTTTTTTTTTAATTTTATTTTATTTTTTTTTTTTAGTATTCAAACTTGAGACATGAAAAAAATTTTTTTTTTATTTTTTTTACAAATACAAATAAAAAAAAAAACTCGTATGATTTATATGATTTAAAGTTTCAAACGTTAACATTGTTTTTTAATATTTATCATTGACATCATAATGCATTATGTACATACATTTACCATTGTGACTCGTTTAAAACGTTTGTAATTTTACGTAATTCTCGTTGGTTAATTTTTTAAAGTTACGATTCGGAATTACGATTTGAAAATTTGACAAAAAAAATCTGCTGACTAATATTAAAACCTTAAATTTGAATTGATTCGGAATTTTTTAATAAAACAATGCATTGATTATTAATAAAGAAAGTTATACGTTATATTTATACCTTATTAATACAGTAATATTTATATATAGCATGTCAATTTTTGTTGAAAGATTGTTGTAATTAATGATATTCGATAATTTGTCAGTTTTTTTTTTTTGATTACTAAAATTATTTGAATTATTATCCGTTGTTATACTTGAATAAATTCGGGTCCATTCGGGTGAGCTCCTAGTATGAAACATGATGTTGGTGATTTCAAAAGAAGAATAGATAATGATCTCGAAGATTAATATACATGTATGTTGATTCCGTCAGAAGTATTGTTTTCGAGTGCTAACCCTATAAAAATTTCTGGGGAAAATTTCGATAAATGATCATTTTTCTAGTTTTCATTCCGAAAAAAACTTCGATATGTGATCAATTTTCTAAAAAAAATTTTTATAGGGTGAATTTGGTTTTTAATGTAAGTTACTTTGTAAAATTTACTTATAAAGTTCGTTTGATACAAAGCAAATTTTATATGATTTTTAAATATTTGCAGTTTTTATAGTATTATGAAAATTTGAAAAACTATTATTATTTTTAATTTGTCATCACATATAGAATAGGATATCGAGTTTGCATTCAATAATGATATAGATAATTATTGGGTCAATTTAATTATTGAGTCAAATTGTGGTTCCACACTCTCACTTGTAGAATACCTAAAAAAGTGTGGGTCAGAAGACTGTCAGAAGATATACTGTAACAAAACCGTTCAATCATTTATATTGGTATAAGTATGATATGGCGATATTTTTCAAAAATGTTAGTTATATCGGAGTTTGTACTGTACGTTATAAGCGGAGTCCTACATTAAGATGATTGTAAATTGAGAATTATATATCTATTTTTAGCATTAAGTACATAAATCACGTGACTGTATTTGAATCACCCTCCAAGTAATTCTGGGCGTTATTACCGTATAGCGCTGCATATAGTACCCCTGGTACTATTCACGGGGGATACTATAGGAGGAGGAGGG